TTTTTTTTCTGTGAAAAATAGAACTCACTTAAGCCTTTCCCGCAGTAAGGTGGGCTCTTTCATTTCGTTTTGGCCAACCGTTAGCTCAGCTATAACATGTTATGTACTAATATAATTCTGAGATACCATAGGAATGACCCGGGTTCGAATCCCCAGGGGCGCGATCTTTATATACTTCAGAGATCTGAGAAGTTGACAAAACTCTCCGTATAAGCTTACTTTACATGTATTTGGTCTTATCGGAGACAGACATTGAATTCAGAGATTTATTCAATTCTCTTGTACTCGTACATGTATTGACTTTCAGTGTTGGTATGAGTTAATAAACCCAAATGAATTACATTTGAACCTGTCCAAAACGACCGCTCATTGATGGGGAGAAAGGTGGTCCTTTCCAACAGGTGGTCGCATTTGCCAATGTCATTCCTAATAGGCCAATAGATTTTATATAGAGAGAGATCTATAGAAAAAAATGCAGGGGGAGAAATTGGAAGTGTTCGTTTGTACAAGTGGGTGTCTTGGACAGTGATCGTTAGAGCAAGTAATGTTCAACTGCATTACATGTGTGTATATATATGTGAAAAATTTTCAAAATAGTAAGCAGAATGATGAAATGTTATGCCGCTGATATTCATTTGTTCAGTAAAATTTTAGTAAAGAGACACATCGACTTGATAACCGCTACTTTTTTAATACGAAAAAGCAACGCAAGACAGACGACTAACAAAAAAGAATAAAAGAAAAGCGAAAGCTAAAGAAATATTTATCACTGACGCTCTATCTCCATGAGATTCTGTCTTTACTTTACAACACGTACATGATGTCGCCGGCTAGCTGTTAAAATGTAGCCTACTGAGCCCATTAAAAATAAAATAGCAGTTACTTAATAATTTGTGATCACCATCATCATCATCCAGTGCCAGATCTTTGGCAGACATCGACGATCATGGTTTTCCATTCATTCCTTTGCTCGGATGCTCTCAAAAAAGCTACGTTTCCCAGATATTTCCCTGTTACCCAATCGTTTAGGTTCCTTAGGTATGTTGTTCTGGGCCTACCCCTGCCTTGCTTGCCCTCAGTTTTGCCAGTGAGAGCTAGATGTTCAAGACCCTTATGTCTATTCAGGTGTCCAAAAAACTGCATTTGTCGTTTCCTGATTGTTTTTAACATTGAG